TGTTAGAATTTATAGCACAGAAATTAGTCCAGAAATGATGAAATACAGGGGTCTAGTTCTGAAATTATGTCACTTATGTTCTACCAAATATTTGCTGTTTGTAACCTCTCAAATGTGAAGATTGTCTATCTTTCTTTTATTTTTATTCCTTCTATTGATAATGAAAGTGTTTCTTAGTTGCAGCTGGATAAAGATGACAAGGGGAAAAGAACACTTCACAGCCTCCAGTGAAGTGTTGTTTGTAAATGTTGACTAGGCTTCTACTGTGCATTATTATTAACTTGTGAACAAGTGATTCCCTGCCCTCACTTTATATACTAGTAACCTGGAGGTATAGGAAAGTTGCTGATGTGACTACAGAGTGGCCAGAAAGAATGGTTTCAGTGGATGACTCCCATATTTGTAGACCTAACACTGGTGTTAAACAGAGTGTGCTTTCCTTGGAAAGGTTTAAGTGTTCAATGACAAACTATTTTCATACATGACACCTGTGTGACTGACTGTGCTCTTGCCTGACAGATCCTTCTGCAGGGAAAGAACCTGGGTGTGCTGTGGGAGTACACTTTGCCTCGGACCGAGAGAAAACCTGACTACAGCTGGGGTGTGGTGCATTCAGACTGCTCTGCTCCCTGTGCTGGAGGTGAGACTGTGTTTGCCTGTGTTTGTGTGATAAATATAAAATAAATAAATACTACTAAAAGAAAACTACATCTGTGTGTGTATGTGTATTATGCACATCAACTGAACAACCATTCACTAAACCCTTCCCTGTTCAGGAGTCGGGGGTAGTGAACCTGAACTAGGCACAGCAGTCAAGTATAGCTTTGGTGTTCGGGGGGGTTGTGGGTTTTTTCCCTAGCCCTTTCAAGCCAAAATCACAAGAGTGTAAAAAAACAGAACTTGATTATGACATTACTACCTGCAGTAGTAACAGTAGCAGCTGTGTTCCGCTTTTTTTTGGATTTGGAGACATTTACACTCAGGCAGTGGTAGTCAAAATGGAGTTGCATCTGCCAAATTTGCTTTTCAGTCAGGGTTACATTAGAATGAAACACCTCCATCTTTACTTATAATGCCAGCATACCACTGAAGAACAGCACTGTTTATTCAGCTGGAAAGAATGCTAACTTTTTCCCAAGAAATCCATTTTTAAGTTGCCTTTACACTCTGTCTGAACTTCTTGTTGGGTCGCTTCAACACACCTTCCTGATATCAAATAAAAGGGGGTTTGTGTCCATTTATGTAATTATTATTATGCATGGCCATCTAGTGCATATTTAATTTCCTGAAAGATCTATAATACGCTGTCTATTTCTGTCTTTCTTTCTTTGTTCTTCCATCAGGTCGTATTTCAACCAAGGCTATCTGTCTGCAGGACCAGAAGGTGCAGGTCAACTCCACCGTGTGCAATCCTCACACAAGACCAACACTGGGTTCCCATCTCTGCAACACACAGCCCTGCCCTGCATAGTAAGTGCTGCTGAGTGTGTGTGTGCGTGGGACAGGAATACTCTTTCATGTACACTGGACTGTGGAATATGTGGCATGTGTCTTTATGTTGCCAAATTTTATATTTTTGGGAATGTGGGTGGGTAAATGACAGAAGTTTGCTTTCATAAAATGTTGGATTTTTAAAGCTGATTCAGACATTTTAGACTAAATATCTAAACATTTTACAGTTTTTAAGCAAAAGCATACCTGGCAGTGCAGCAAAAACTTTGAAACAACATTAAATATAATTTGAAATTTGCATCTCTAGATGAGAATCACCAGCCTAAGATGCACTTTGTATTTAGTGCCAGTTTACAAATGTTAAAATGCTAAATAAGATGTGAACATGGTAAAAAAATTATGTAAACGTTTTATACGAAAGACATCATCTTGTAAACATTGTCACTGTGAGCGTGTTGGCATGCTCTTAACTCAACTGTTGACTCTTAGTCTTGTTAAACACCTTGCAAATTTTAGAGTTTGGTTGTTGGCAAGTCAGACATGTATATGTGGGTGAGATTCTGTGTGAGAATTTGGACTTGTGATACCAGTTTTTTTCCATTTTGGCTATGGCCCTGTCAAAAACATTTTATTTCAGTTTAATCCCTAGACATAAGATTCAACCGATCGACTGTGTCGTATGTTGACTGTTTATGTGATGAAGTAAAGCTAAAACAGCATGGTGTTTCCACTTCTGGAATGGACATTTTCCTTACTTGAGAGTAAAAAAGAGATAGAAAAATGAAGAAAGACAAAGCCAAGAATGAATGAGGGAGCAGGGGACACATCAAAACCAGCTTGGAATGATTGCTGTTTTCATGTGCATATCATCCCTCTCATGTGTTCTCAGGCCAAAGCTTCTTGACTTTCTCAGTAGCAAAATCATGCCTGTGTTTTATCTCAGTTGTTTAGACATTGTACTTAATGGAATGCATTTTTAAAGGAGACCGTGCATTCAGAGACCAGTGCAACAAGTAAAGGAGGAAATCAGGCTAAAGTGCATCATAACAAGCTGAAGCAGCACTGAACAAATGGCCTCTCTCTTATGTGGGTCTGTGGCTGAAGGAACTGGAGCTAGCTTGATTTACAGCACTGCTCCAAAGAACAGCTAGGGAATCATGTCTTGGGTTCAGTGAGAGAGCATATGTGCACATGCACACACACACACACACACACACACACACACCTAAGTAGACACACTGTAACATGCACTTTTACATTTCATATGCACACACAATTTCCAAATGTATGGTGCAGAATAATGTACTTAAGATACAAATCATGAGATAAAAATAGAAATTCAAGTTCAGTTTGAATTTTTTCCTGTGTCAGGGATTGAACAAGCAAGACAAGTATCGGTTACACCTCCAACATATAGCCCCTATTTCTCATTGAGTTTCCCACTACCCGAGAGGGCATTTCCTGCCCCTAATCTTGGTCATACCATTTCTCTTACCTTGGTGAAAGGTATTAAACAGCCTTGTTGCATGTTCTCCTCCACTCCGTTTGTTGGAGTGAAGAAAATAGTATAGCCTAGATAAATAACATCAGTGCAGATGGTCTGTTCAGGAAAATAAAGCAGTGTTTGACACCCATGGATCTTATTATACAGTAGCTGACACATTTCTCAGCTGGTTGTGGGTACGATCCAATTTATAGGCAGTGTACAGGAAGACAGTTGAGCTGAGTGAACAGCATGAAAGCTTTAATGACTGCAGTAAGACCAGCAGGATGTAGGGACACATTCAAGAGCTCAGCAGAGAGAAGAAAAATTGACAGTGAGGTTGTATGAATGTGCACTTTGTGTGTGAGTGTGTGTATGACAGGAGGGGGAAAGTAAAAGTGCCTGATTATCTGTGCAATGTGTATCTCGGGTGCTGACAGGTCTGTCCATGTTTTACTGTGCAGAGACGGCAGGTTTCCCACAGGGCACAGCCAGTCTAGCCATGCAGAGCCACTCAAACTCCTCCCACACCCCTTCACTAATGTCAATTCTCTTTTGGTTGAGACCTGCTTTAAACCTTCCCTTGCTGTTAGGGAAAACAGGGATGCTCAGCTGTGGGGTTGCAGCATTTCATGAACATAAAAGGAGGATGCAAGGAGAATATTAGATGCCGGCTCAATCTTTCAACCCAGCTTGCAATCAGAATGACATATATATCATAAATTATTTTGTATATTTTTGTCCTATTTTGCTTTTTCTGTGTGCTTCATGCGTAGACGAATCAAAGTGAAGCAGATATTATCACCGCTATTCCTCAGAGTTACCACAGAAATTAAAACCACCTCTACAGTACCGACACATATGAATACGGCTGGCACGACACCCCCGCTGCAACTACAAACCCAATAAAGACCCAACCCACCCTTCCAGTTACCATCCTCTGTCACTTATTAACACAGATCTAAAAATTATCACCAAAGCACTAGCCACTAGAATAGAGACATTTACCCCAGGATTAATCCACCCAGACCAAATAGGCTTCATTAACAGTAGACACGCTTCGGATAACACCCATAAACTTTTTAACTTAATCAACTTTGCGCAACAAAAATAAACTAACACCATAATTGTATCTTTAGATGCAGAAAAAGCATTCGACAAAGTTAACTGGTCATTACTATTCAGAACACTACGAGGTTTGGTTTTGGAGAGTCTTTCATCCACTGGATTAAAACGCTGTATACATTACCAAGAGCTACAATAACCACAAATGGGATAACCTCACAAAGTTTCACACTCCACCGAGGAACTAGACAAGGATGCCCACTCTCACCATCTCCATTCGCCATCTTCATTGAACCTCTTGCAGCAGCAATACGACAGAATAATAGCATCAAAGGAATACAAGATACTAACTCACAACATAAAATTTGCCTCTATGCAGATGATTTACTACTATATCTACAGGACCCCTACAGTTCACTACGAGAAACTTTCTCCATTATTAATACATTCTCCAGGATCTCTAACTACACAATAAACTGGAATAAATCCACCATATTGCCACTCTGAAGATGCCTGGGATTCTGCAGCTCAAGACTGTCCCCTACCACTTCACACTGGCAACATTAAATATTTAGGCATCTGTATTTCCGCTAGGCTGTCAGAACATTTTAACCTTAACTATACCCCTCTGCTAAAGATGATTTTAAACACTGGTCCAACCTCCCACTGTCACTCATTGGCCAAATTGCTACAGTCGAGATGAAAACTTTACCACAAATTAACTACCTGTTTTCGATGCTTCCCACAACACCAACAGATAAATGGTTCAGATCACTTGATTCTCTAACTTCACAATTTTACTGGAATAACAAGAAACCCAAAGTTTCCCTGTCAACACTCCAGAAGAATAAATCACAAGGTGGCCTAGCAGCACCAAATTTTGAGTATTATTTCTTAGCAAATCAATTACAATATTTAGCTAAGTGGATTCAGAAGGATAGTTGTAATAGCTCGTGGATAAAACTAGAACAAAATCAATGCAAAAATACTTCAGTTACAGACCTCGCCTTCCTACCATACTCAATTAAGAAAATGAACTATTTCA